GCAAATACGACTTTTCATAATTAACAAATAAAATAGGGTTAAAATAAATATAAAATACAAAAATGGCGATGAAGATGATGCTGTGCAATACTTTCTTCTTCTCTCTTTGTAATCCCATTGAACCCATTTCAATGGCTGGAAGAAACAAAGACATATTGAATAACCAAAAGCTGTTTAATTTGCAGGTGCTTGGACTCTATTCTTCATGCTGAACACAAAAGCATCTTGGAAGCAAAAAAAGCATCTTGGAAGCAAACGGGGATGAAAAAGTTGAAGCTGACAAGCAAATGCCATTCGATTATGTTCTGGAATTGAAAAAAATCTTGGGTTCTTCGGCTAAAAACGTCAAGAGGTATCACAAATTTTCTAGAAAGTTAATATTTTTCTTCATTTTTACTATCCAATTTGTGAACTACTGGGAAACTCATCAAGCACATGAAAAATTGACAGTGGCTGTGATTTTGGGAGGGGGGGGTGGGGGGGGAGTGGGTGATGGCTGGGGCACATATCCTCTTAGCCAATGCTTGCTACGAGTAGGTTTAGGGGTAAAAAAGAAATGAGCAGAGGTGGGGTGAGGGATTTGTATGCCCTACATCATGGGTTGCTTCTCATGTGTTCAATGAAATGCACAAATGAATATAAAACTGGAGATGATGTTGAACAAAAATCTGGAGCCTAAGAAATGTTTTATGAATGCGGGCGGATGACGTTGGAAATAAAAGGCAATTTGATAGAGATAGGATATTGTTGAATGAATTGAGAGGTCAACATATTATAAATAGAGAGATGGGTTTGGGATGGAGGGTGGTTGTTGGATAGGTTTGGGTGGAGAGTGGTTGTGGGATGGGTTTGGGGGTTGGAGCTTGAGGGTGGTGGCTATGGGGGAATGGGGAGAGAGAGAGAGAGAGTTTTTATTTATTTTTTAGCATTTATTTATTTGTAACGTATGAAATCACCAATTTGCCCTCATATTTAACAGCAACATTAACAGAATGTAACAGTTGGATCAAATTAGCAATTAAAATAAAGTTTATGTACCATTTGGACTAATAATTTAATTTATAGAACAAAATGTAAATCGTGTACAAATTTAAGGACTATTTGAGTAATTTACCCAAAAAGATAAAATTACTGGGTCTGTATCTAGAGCAAGAAAGAAAAAAAAAACCTTTCATTTTCATTGAAGATAAGATAGGATAGGATATCTGAAAAAGTTTGATGATAAAGACAACATTGACGCAATGGGCCAAAGTGACGGTTACATAGAGTTATGATGTTTCTTAGAACAGGATAAGGCTACTAGTAATGTCGGCAAGTTATTCACCGTACACGTGTAAAGCATTGGAACATAGATTCATATGACCTGGTGAAAATCATGAGATTAATGCTATTGGTGGGTGGACGCTAGTTTCAGTAGCGTTATTTAAGGATCGTTGTTGAAAGTTTCGATAGCAAAATGTCAGAAAGATTCATGCTTATCCAAAGTGTTAGGCAAAATCTTTTTGTGTAGCTTTTGCTTTTCCCAATCTACGATCCTTTTTCACCTTCAAATTCACTAGGAGATGTTGTTTTATGCTAAACTGTGTTCCCCTTGTATTTAATTATTATTATTTCAATGTGAATTCTAATTACCAAATGCCAAATTCAAAACATGCGACTTACAAGTCCCAAATCGATATAGCATTGGGTGCAAACATAATTCAACGCAAGGAACACCATATTTCAAAGATAATGCAAGTCATTTTCACATATTAAATATCTTTTATTTATGTATTCTTAAAAAGACGAGAACACAGAAAATAAAAAATTTCAATAATTCGAGCGAGATTAGACAAGTTAATAAAGTTAGAATTAAAATAGGTTAATGGCTCGATTCCTTCGTACACGAGAAAACCTCTAACGGACATGCCAGATTATTGTTCTCCTCCTACACATGATAATAGGGCAGGTCTTCTTGAGTCAAATACCTAATTGGCAAAGCGGATGGATTATGGACAAAACATGGCCAACGGGGAACAACAAGAATAGTCATATATTATTAATTTGAGTTAAGACGATCTTACCGACATCCGGAAGATGTGGCATATCGGGTGATGGAGACTGAGAGTAGACTCAGACAAACCTCTTCTTTTCTCTTGCTTTAATATCGCATTTTCAAACGTTCTATGCAGCTCATTGGCTGTGGACATTTTTGTAATTTTTGTCAAACAGTTACACCGCCCAACGCTCAAATTGGATAAAAGCGATTCTACTCATAAGCTCTTTTGTAATTTTAATAAACGCTTCTATTAGAATGCCTTAAAAAAAACATTTGGAGTCATACCTAGAAAAACACTCGACGTGCTTCTACAAAGGCATTTTCAAATTCTTACCAAACGTTGTAAGAAACGCGTTTGTTTTGTTGTACCAAATAAGCCCCTGTAATAAAAAATAAAATTAAATTAAAGGAAAATTAAAGGTGTTGTGTGTTTCCCTTATAAAAAGGCATCTTCACGTTCCTCCCTTCACAAAAGATCAAAATCCGTTCATATTTTCTAGAGAGAGAGAGAGAGAGAGAGAGAAACAATGGCAGGAATCGTTCACAAGATTGGAGACGCCCTCCACATAGGAGGAGGAGGTAACGAGCACAAGAAAGACGAGGAGTACAAGAAGGAAGGTGAGCACCACAAGGACAAGAAAGACGAGCACCACAAGGACAAGAAAGACGAACACCACAAGAAAGACGGCGATCACAAAGAGAAAGACAAAGACGACAAGAAGAAGAAGAAGAAGAAGGACAAGAAGAAGGATGGCCATGACAGCAGCAGCAGCGACAGCGACTAATCTATAATATTCTGGTAATCCATCATCTTCCTGTGCATTTTGTTCCATTAACTTTTGATGATCTCATATATCTGCAAAAATATTTATTTTACAATTTTAATAAGTTATTTTTGCATACATATCTGATTGTGATTAAATAAATATACGGGATATGGTTTCTGCTACGTCTTAAAATTGAGATCTATGATGTAGACATGGACTTAGCTAAAGCAGATGTACTTTTGCACCCAAGTTCGCATCACCCCCCTCGTTATTTAGATTAGATTAGAGTAGAATATCGTTTTTATTATAAAAAAAAAAAATTTAAAAGTGAGATCTGTGACATGATCTAAAGGATCTGGATTCTCAAATACCAAGATGACAAATAATGGAAATATTGTGTGAAATGAATTTGATTTTCTTTGTCATTGCTTAATGAATTTGTGTTTTTTTCTATTTGCCTTGTAGGTGTTTGGGGCGTCATGAGATGAGAACATGCTCAACTTCTATTTCCTTTCCGTTTACGGCCCAACGTTATATTTTACATTTCAAGAAAAGAAAAGGCTTGTTCCACAGCCCAACCCCGAAAAAAGAAGAAGAAAAAAGAAGTCGTGTTTAGTGTTTATCTGCTGAATGCTGTTGCTAGTGGTAGCTATATATGTAAAATGCTTCTAAGCAGGCACTGAATATATGTGAAACCTCTGACCGACTTTCCTATGAATAAGGATAAATGCTTAATATTATATGTGTCTTAGTATTCAAGTGGTTTGTTGTTTTATATCATATGCTTGTTATGTCTCAATTAACACCATCTCCCCATCAAAATGCACCTAAATTAATTGATGCATGTGTCAATTCTTACTTCCTACTAGGAGTGGCATTTTAGACCGAAAAATTGCAAAAATTAATTAACAATTTACCGCAATGGAATTGCAATTGCGGGAAACTAAACCGCATTTGTAGTACGAAGAACCGAATTGCACTTGCGATTGCGGTATTTGATTTTCAAAATTTGCGGTTACTAAACCGCAACCACCCATCCTTTCTACAATGTACAATGTCAAAGAAACGAAAAAACAAAGAACATCACGTGTGGTAGTTCGACCATGGCCACAATACGCATACAGTTGTGCGTGTGCCAGAGAATTTTTCGTTATATTTGAAAGATTTTATAAAAACTCACATTGATGAAAATATAGACTAAATTTTGGCTATATACGATAAAGACTGTAATTAGTCATGTCCTCCTAGCACTCAGACATATAACAACTTCGAACTATGGTTATGGAGGAGACGTTGAACAATCATAAATAAATAGTGCGAGTTGAGAAAGCGCGCGCAAGAGAAGAGTAATCTTAGCCGTTAAGTCCAAAGTCGTACGCCGTCGTTTGTTCGGTGTGAGGCGAAATTGCTTCATCCCTAAACCCTGTCTAAACCTTGGGCTCACATTCTTTGATTCTCACTCTGCTCTCTGCTCTCTGCTCTCTCTTTTTCTCCAGGTCAGCTTCCTCCTTCTCTCTCCTCTATCTCATTTCTCATTTTTGGAGATGCCCGAAACTGTCACGGCCCATCCATATTTTAGTAACAATAACCAAACCAGGGTTTGTGGTGTTGCATTGCATACAGTTTTGGCCCCAAATTTGTGCCAATAAAAAGTCAGAAAATTTATTTTGATATTTTCTTTTATAGAAAGTTACAAACAAGACAACTGTGCCTTGGATTGGTTCTTCCCTCTTCTGATAGGAGGAAGAAGGAAGTCCCAACTCCAGTAAGTAAGCTCGCTGTGACGTCGTCGTTTTCGTCTGAAACCTAGAATTTGGATATTCAATTGCAGTCGCTGTAATTGCTATTTGTTCTCAACTGACTGAAAAATCCCAGGTCAGCTTCTCTTTCAATTGTAGTTAATCAAGTCATTTCTTTTTCTCAGTTAATTAATTCACTGTCCCCAAGCTAACACCGGACTTAATGGAAATGTAATTTTCTGGTTATTAGTTTCATCCTTTTCTACTGAAGCTGAAACATTAACTGGGTATTGGTGGTCCTTTCTGTCTATATTGTCTTAATTATGGGGGTTGGATTTCTCTTAAAGTTCCATTTAGCAAACCAGACGTACATTTGTTGTTGTCAGTAGGAGCAGGGAAGCCCAATCCACTGCTGATACTAAATACTATTTGAGCCTTTAGCTTAATCTCTTACAGTTCCATTAGTATTGGCTTGTTCTCAAACAACCTTTTCGGGTTTTGTTAGTAGTTGGACTTTAACATGGTATCAGTGCTTTTGGATTTCAGTGGTTTCCTAAGAATCAGATGTATAGATTTCTTCCTTGAATTAGTTCAGTTATCTTCTGTTTGTTGTATCATGATCACAGCTAACTTGCATTTATGTTGGATTTTTTTGAGAATAATAAGATCAACTTGTTGTAACATTGGGCAGGGCCAATCATTTATATGGAAATGTCCCCTTTTACGCCTATTTGAGTTCACTTGGGCTGTTATTTTAATGCATTTTGACCATATAAGAGAATAATTTCATGGTTATTAGCGATCTTGATATTTAAAAACCGAACGAATATTTTGGCATATGCTATGTTCTTATCTTAGTTACTCATAATAGTTGTATTACCATATGAGATAAGCTCTTATTGTGTTTACTATGTTCTTGTTATGCTGCAAATCTTGGTTGGGTGATGATTCTGGAGCCATTCATCTTTCTTGCAAGTTGCAACTTCTGCATTTTTTTGTCTAACCAATGTAACTCAACTATTTCATACTTTCAGTAAAACAGTATATATCAAGCATACAGTTCACAAGTGATTAAATTTCTCCCAAATAATTACGAATACAATGACATGTGCTCTCTTGCTTCATTTATTCTTTCCACCTTGTAGGAGACATAGAGTCATGTATTCTCATTTCAATGCTGCTTAATTGATTGTAGCAAAGATAATGGAATGGGAACTAGACATGGATTGTTCAAACAACTTGTGGGTGACCTCTCTTTCCTCGACTCTACACCCTTTGCGAAGCTCTTGGATTCATGCATTCGAACCAAGTCAGCACGTGATGCACATCGCATCCACGCTCGTGTCATCAAAACCCAATTTTCCTCAGAGATTTTTATCCAGAATAGGCTTATTGATGCTTATGGAAAATGTGGTTGTTTGGATGATGCACGTAAATTGTTTGATAAAATGCCTCAAAGGAACACTTTCACTTGGAACTCCATCATAAGTACATTAACGAAGTTGGGTTTTATTGATGAGGCTGTGCAGATTTTTAGGTTAATGCCTGAGCCTGACCAGTGCTCGTGGAATTCGATGGTATCAGGGTTTGCCCAGCATGACCGCTTTGAAGAAGCTTTGGAGTATTTTGTCAAATTGCATGTGGAGGATTTTGTGCTTAATGAATACTCGTTCAGTAGTGCTCTTAGTGCTTGTGCAGGTTTGAGAAAGTTGAAAATGGGTGTCCAAATTCATGCTTTTATTGCTAAGTCATGTTACTCGTCAGATGTTTATATGGGATCTGCACTTATTGATATGTACTCTAAATGTGGGAGTGTTGCTTCTGCACAAAGAGTTTTTGATTGGATGAGTGACCGAAATACAGTTTCTTGGAACAGTTTGATTACGTGTTATGAGCAGAATGGTCCAGCAAGTGAAGCCCTAGAAGTTTTTGTGAGGATGATGGATGGTGGGTTCAAACCAGATGAGTTAACTTTAGCCAGTGTGGTAAGTGCATGTGCAAGCTTGTCTGCAATAAAGGAAGGTCAGCAAATATATGCTTGTGTCATAAAATGTGACAAATACAGGGATGATCTTGTTTTAGGCAATGCGTTGGTTGATATGTATGCAAAATGCAATAGATTAAAGCAAGCCAGATGGATTTTTGATGGGATGCCTGTTAGAAATGTTGTCTCCGAAACATCAATGGTAAGTGGATATGCAAAAGCGGCAAGTGTAAAAGCTGCAAGATTGATGTTTGCAAAGATGATGGAAAGGAATATAGTCTCTTGGAATGCACTTATTTCAGGGTACACACAAAATGGGGAAAATGAAGAGGCTGTTGGACTCTTTCTCCTCCTGAAGAGGGAGTCTGTTTTGCCAACCCACTATACATTTGGGAATCTACTCAATGCTTGTGCAAGTCTAGTTGATCTGCAGCTTGGTAGGCAGGCTCATGTACACTTGCTGAAACACGGATTTAAGTTCCAGGTTGGGGAAGAGCCTGATATTTTTGTGGGAAATTCTCTAATAGATATGTACATGAAATGTGGATCCATTGAAGATGGATGTTGGGTGTTTAAAAGTATGTTGCAAAGGGATTATGTCTCCTGGAATGCCATGATTGTGGGGTATGCACAAAATGGTTATGGGACTGAAGCTCTCGAAATATTTAGAAAAATGTTGGCATCTGGGGAGCAACCTGACCATGTCACTATGATTGGTGTTCTATGCGCTTGTAGCCACGCAGGGTTGGTTGATGAAGGAAAAGAATATTTTTACTCTATGAGTGAAGAGCATGGTTTGGTACCATTGAAGGACCATTATACATGTATGGTTGATCTACTTGGTCGAGCTGGTTGCCTTGATGAAGCTAAACATTTAATAGAGATCATGCCAATGCAACCTGATGCTGTTATATGGGGGTCTTTGCTTGCTGCTTGTAAAGTTCATCGTAACATTACCTTAGGGAAGTATGTGGCGGAGAAGCTCTTAGATATTGAACCTAGGAATTCTGGACCTTATGTTCTTCTTTCAAACATGTACGCCGAGCTTGGAAGATGGGGTGATGTTGTAACAGTAAGAAAGCTGATGAGGCAACGGGGAGTTATCAAGCAGCCAGGTTGCAGTTGGATTGAGATACAGGGTCGTGTGCATGTTTTCATGGTGAAAGATAAAAGCCATCCTCAATGCAAGGAAATACATTATCTTTTGAAGTTGCTCATTGAACAGATGAAGCAATCCGGATATGTCGAAGATGCTTGTGATCACGAGATTTGTGAAGAACATGGTGAAACAGAACTAACCTCATTGTACGATGTTGATATGTTGGAAGATGCAGCTCTTGGGTGATTTGCCTACAATATTGTTTTCTAAATGTACTCCCCAATATTTTCCTCTATAAAATTTGATAAATACTTTTCTTCATTCCTGGAAACGAAAAAGAAAATAAAGCCCAAAGAGTTCTGTCACAATTCATTGTTATCATGCCTATTTTCTGAATTTCATATTATGGTGGACTGGGCTACCTGCCTATTATGGGTCTGCTGTTAGGTTGGTACGGCACTCAATTGCTCCAATTGATCAACTTTCATGTTACTAAGCATCCAACAATATGGTAAGATCTGCTTTTCCCTTCACTTGATAAGATAGTGAGAGTTTGAATTCTTATGGTGATGATATCTTTGTATTCATCTCTGACATCCTTATCTTTATGTTCATCTCAAATATCTTTGTTTTCTTCTTTGTTATTTATTTGTTTTATATAATTTTTTGGTAAATCAAGAGAACGTAACATCTTCTTTGTTTGTGTAACATCAATGTATTTTTTTTAATTCTTTTCAGAATATTTTGATGTGATTGTTTCGCAAAACTAGCATTACTTTGATAGCCTTGGTGAAGCTCTCTTAATTTGTGGTTATATTTGTAACAGCTATAAAAATTTATAATAACTCTGTGAACTCTGGTAGCTGAAGCATGTGTGACATTGTTTAAGTTCTTTGAAGTGCAAATTCATAAGAGTATAATTGATCTTGGGCCTCCTCACCCATTGCCAATTTGGTTTGAGTTGGATGCTCACATTCGAACATCATTCAAATTAATATGGTGGGAAAAGGAGGCCCTACAGTAGTCAAGGATGTGAAAATGGATATTTCAAGTGTTTTGCCAAGTTATGTAAATCTGGGAATTAAAAAGAAAAAAGACGGACACAATAAAAATGTTGATGAGCTGCAATAAATTTTGTTTTAGTATTGTTCGTTCAACGATTCTGCTTGTGTTTAAAGTTTATATCCTGTCCACCAGTTAATTCTTCTGGCATTTTATAGCTGCTGTGGTTTTGCTGCTTTCTGTAGTAAGAAATCTGTTTAACGTTTTGTTGCAGAGCATGATAGGATTGATTGCTTTGTGTCATGAGGATGGATCTTGGGATGCTTCCGACGATGAATTGAAGCATGTACTTTGGGCAGGTACTGGCAGAAGATGCATCACCAATTCCACACGGTGGTTGTACACTTGAGACTCACTTTCGTCATTGTCTTGTCTGTGTTTAGTTGTTTTCCATACATAATTGAATTCAAGTGGCTCTCTTATCTATCCTTTGACTGTTGATATAAATATGTAATTGCGGGAAAAGAAGCTTCTTCACGAGAGGGATTTAATATTGGCTTTAGGCAATCGGTGCTGCTTGGGTTCAACTGAGGCCTTGTCACAAGGTAAAAAGCAAAAAAAGGTAAAGAGACGAATTATATTACAGTAATTTTTCACTTGCAGATCTTTATATTATTGTATTTCTCATTCCCCATTTTGGTGCATCTTCAACCAACCCACATGCAGAAGTGCTTTGGCTTACCTTCCAGATGGTTTAAGGGAGAAGTTGATTGAAACAGAAGACAAAAGGACTGGATTTCAGGGCTCTTTCGACAACAGATGCCCTAAGTTAGATTATTTAAGCCATCAGTCACTGCAGGAAGCTGATTCTTCCTCTCCACAAGTCACACCGGAGCTGAGAAACTGTGTTTGTGTCTCTAAATGTAGAGGCTAAGGATCCACGAAATATGACTTAGAATTGATACCAAACATAACTACAAGGCTGAGATTCACCGAATTGAAATCACATGACACCACTTATAAATGGATATTGATTTCACAAGTAATGCTCGAGTTTTATTGCGAGTAAAAAGTCATTTTCCTTTATTCCAAGTCATGGACTAAGGGATCGTTTGAGAGTAATTCTAAATAGGCTAAAAAATACTTTTATGGAGAATCATTTCTCTTCTTTATATAATCACTTTAAGTTGTTTTAAATGATTTTATGGAAAATCACATGGAATATGCTTTTTCCCAGAAATTATTCTGGTTTATCCATAATCATTCCTAAACGAGCTCTAAGATTAAGAAGAGAAGAAAATGAAAACTATTGCAAGCTCTCCATTGGACACTAGTATAATGATTCTTGTATTTGGTTAGATTAAAATTTGACATGTATGGTAATATATCATCAGTAGAAGATCCTCTTTGTAATTGCACTTCTTTTTTTATTTATTTTATATTTTTAAATAAAGTGGGTGACGCGTTGGCCACAACAATAAAAAACGCACATAGAATACAAGTAGTACCGCTAGCTGCAACAGTTGGATGCCATCTAGTTCAACGACAAAGACCCAAGATTAAATACAGCGACCAACTATCCACCACCAGCTGTTGAAAAATTAGACGCTATCATCTTGGTTGAATGCCAGCCTTTGATCTCCGTGGGCTCCACTCATCGATGGCTAGCATTCAGTCACCTGAAAAATTAGTGGCTTTGGGGAAGTGGGCGTCCCTTGTTTTCTCCTCTACCTGTCGAACAAACAAACATTGGGTCTAATCTAACAACATAAGCAGTGGGCTCCTTATTCACTTTGCTTCACCTTCTTCTCATGCGCCCCCCGCCACCCCCGCATACTAGTTTATATAAAACCCAAAACAAGTCATCTCACTATCTTCAACTTCAACTTCAACTGCATCAATTGCCTTGCCTTCTTCTTTCTCTCTCAATTCCATAAAAATTTCTATGGCTTCTCTTGTTCTTCTCTTGTCTGTACTTGGAGGTCGGCCCCATAACGCAGATCCAAGTAATTTGTGGTGGGCAACACTTCCTCCTTCTTCTTGTTCTAATTCTTCTACTGCCAAAAACCCACTGACCAGAAATGGAAGCAACTACAAATGCAATGGCCAAGCACAAGAAAATGAGGTGATGGTAGCTGTGGAAGATCTTCTGCAGCAGCTAGAGTCTAGGGTTTCTGTCGACTCAGTTTGGCCTTAATTAGAGATGGAGATTTCCTTTTCACTTTAGTATAGGGTCTGTCTGTGTATATTTTTCTTGTTGATCGTTAATTTATAAATTGATGAGACACAATCACATCTTCATTACCTTCCCCACCCCCCCAATCCTTTTAATGCTCTGTCTTGTTTTTTCTCTAGCTTGTTTTTCATTGTTGTAACATTCTTGGCTTTCTGTGGGTTTTGATCCTATGGCTTTTGGTTAATAGGAATCAATAATACCAACACTTGAAACATCAGGAAATTTCTGAAAGGCACTGATAATACCAACACTAGAAACTTTTTCAACAGGACATGGAGTACTAAAAATGATAATACGTTTCAATCATCAGGAAATTTCTCAACTCACAATTACAAATTGCTCAACTGCAGCTCTGTCTCAAGGACAGGCCTGAAAAAATGCCAACTCGAATCATGAAAGGCACTGAAATAAGTATCTGAAATTGTCTTAATCCTAAACTCATCTGTGAATTTTCGAACAGCCAAGATATGCTTTGTCGAATCAACAATAGCTGAGTTCTTATACTCTGATAGATGCTGTTCGTATGTCTCAAAGCTGTTCCCAAACAATACTGTACAATTCAAAAGCCGTGCTTCCCAATTCGCTTGTAGAAGATTATCATATAGCTCTGCCTCGCAATGTGGCATGAAGAACATTGTTGGTTTCTCAGCCTGACGCCGACCTTGTTCATTTATCGATAACACAGAGCATTCGAGAGCTTCCAAAACCCGAGATTCTGTGGCAGAAAGAATGGGATCAAAGACCTCTATATCTCCAATCCAATTGAACTTTCTCTTCAGCAAGATGGCAAGGCTCAACTGCAAACGAGGGGATTCATATGATTCGATGCTGCCTATGCCATATATAACCATCTTCATCTTCAACTCCGAGCTCAAAACCCTATGGAAGTAATTCATCATTTCTGGAGTTTGGATTTCATCCAGTAAATTAAGAAAGAATTGAGACATCTCCAATTTCTTCATACAGATCTGGATCTTCTGCATTAATTTTGATTCACGGGCGAAATTGATTTCAAGATCAGTTGGAGCCCAATGCGATGGTTGCTTCTGTACTCGAATTGTAATTTTTGGAGGATTTTTTCTTTGTCTTCCACGACGAGATGAAACAACTGTCCAGTCTCCATTTAAAGTATGGCTTTCAGCAGTTAGAGTCTTTGCAGAAGCTGCCATTGCAATCCAAGAATCCTTCTGACAATTCTTCTATGATTATGTATCCAGGTATTCAATACACACAACTGTTACAATTTGCAACAAAACACAATCAGTGGTGGTGAGAGAGAGAGAGAGAGAGAGGTTTTACATGTAAAATTCCTAATTTAATTTAGGAATTCAAATGCTTGGGCAAATGCTACTCTTATTAAGATTTGAGTCCAACCACAAGATTCAGATTTATGATCTCCAAATCCAAATCCAAATCAATCCAACCAACTTCCTCAGTGGAAACAGGCATTCATTTTAATAAAAAACAATCAAGATAAATATACAAGGGGAAAAAGCATAAAAGAAAGAGCACCTACAACTCTGATGAGCATCATTGATCAGATAATCTGCTACAAGCAAAATAATGGAAACAGGACAACAATTACCAAATTTCTCCTTGCTAGCATGTTTTCTAAACTACTTAGAGACTCAAGAAAGAAAAATGTGATAAAGCTGGTCTACCACACGGTCAAACAAAGCAGAAAACTTTAAACACTGTGATGAAAATTTTGAACTGGATATGGAATAGACTAAAACTATACTAATCAACAATTAAAGGCCTAAGTTATGAATGAAATCACCTTGCCTGGGTCGGGTCCTCTAAGGGAACGATAGAGGAGGACGAGATCTACCTTTTGCAAGAAAGATCGCCGACAGAGGTGACCGAAATTGGCCAGAAACAACCTCGACAGCGGGGGCAACGGTGGTGCGACTCCGCCCGTTTTCGAGCGTTCTGCCGCCTTCTGTGGGGGTGTTCCGGGCCGGTGGTGGGGTGGGTTTGGTAGAGGAGGTGGCGGCGAAGCTTTTTCGTGAAGGTGGAAAAAGCCGGGTCGCCGGCCCTTTTCTGAAATCTTCAGGGAGAGAGAGAGAAGACTCAGAGGGTGACGTGTGCTTTCACTGGGCTGGCTTTTGGGCTTTTCTAACATTTCTGAAACGATTTTCAGCCATTTTCTCCCTAAATTATGGAGTGCTTCTATAGTGAGTGGAAAGTTATAAGGGGTTTTTTTGAGGGGTATGTAAGAGCCGTTGGATTTCATCCAACGGTGAGTTTTTAAAAGAGGGTGCATGTAGAACCGGGTTGAAATCTGACCCGTTTGGAAACCCAACTTCAGCTGAAGATTTTTCCCCCTCTGTGAAAAACTCAAGAACACAATCCTCTCTTTTTTAATGTAATGCAAATCCACAATTAGAAAGATCCAAAGCTCCCAAACTCTATAATCGCTCCATTGTCATCAGCTCCTTGGGAGGCCTGCGATCTATGGTATCCTCGGTATGATGATTAATGGCTTTTACCTAGCTATTGCCCTGTTTTGATTCTATGATTGAAGTGAAAACCCCTTCTCTTTTTCGTTCAGCAGAAGAGATTCCAGATGAAAGCAAAGTAGCATATCTCTTTTTCGTGCTGCTGCAGTTGTTCCTGGATTTTGGTAGAGATGGAGTCTCCACTACGAAAGAATCCTCTCTAATGTCCACCACATTCTTTGAAGCTGACTGAGTTCGGAACTCCCGATTGACTTTGAGAGGTAAGTTCACTCTTGCTAGATTGATTTTGTTGGGTTTGATTTGTTTTTTGTGAGGGTGAGAAATTTGTCATTTGTGGCATCAATAATGCGTCATTTGCTCTGCTATCAATAATGCGTCATTTGACTTTGAGAGGTAAGTTCACTCTTGCTGGATTGATTTTGTTGGGTTTGATTTGTTTTTTGTGAGGGTGAGAAATTTGTCATTTGTGGCATCAATAATGCGTCATTTGCTCTGCTATCAATAATGCGTCATTTCCTTATGAATATTCAATATACTTAGTTGATTATTTTTGTTTGGAGGGGGATTGGAAATTTATGAAATGTAGGTAAAAGATCCTAAACTTAGGCTTAATGGCATTAGAAGTAAGCATTTGGAGAGGATATTGGGTGAAGTTCTGTAATTGCTGGTTTGAATTACATTTGAGTTCTTAGTTGAACATGTTGGTTCTAATGTTATTTTTTCCAGATTATTTCACAAGAGATGACGTAACTATTATTAAATTTTGCTTGTGTTTTGTGTAATCAGAATCCAACAAGCTAGGCTATGCGTGTATTGTGTCAATTTGGGCAATGTTTTGTGTAAGTGGAATGCATTGATAAGTTGTGATGCAGTAATGATTGATTAATGAATTAACATTTGCTATGCAGTAATATAGAAGTAGATCAATAATATACGTGGATAAAATGTCTAGGGGCTCAGAGAGTGATGACTCTGTAACAGCTAATGGGAGGGTTTACATTCCTGAAGTAAGAAATGAGGAAACACCAGCAGTTGGGATGAAGTTCGACTCGCTTGACCTCATTTATAATTTCTATAATAGATATGCATTCTTGGCTGGCTTTGGTATTCGACTTCATTCCAGCTTTTGGGGGAAAAATAAGAAAGAGATTCTGAGAAAAGAATTTGTATGTTGCAAACAAGGTGTATACCGGAATGATGAAACTCGGGAGAGAAAAAGACAGCGGGGAATAAGTAGATGCAATTGCAAAGCTAAGATTGTGGTTGTGAAGACACATGGGAGCAAGAAGTATACCATCTCTCTTTTTGCAGAGGGACACAATCATAAGATGACACCCTCAGGAAGAATGCATTTACTGAGATCACACCGTCGTATCTCAGATTCTACAAAAGTACTCACAAAACAGTTGGGTTCGGTTAATATTCCCATTAATCAGAAGGTAAGTATTTTCGAGGTGCAATCCGGAGGAATGGATAAAATCGGTTTTATCAAAAAGGATATGTACAATCTTGAATGTAGTGTGAATGGGAAGCTGAGGAACCACGATGTTGAACTAGTGACCGAGTATTTTATGGCTGAACAGAAAAAAAATGAGGCTTTTTATTTCAAGATTGAGGGAGATGGCGATAACAGGTTTAGTCGATGTTTTTGGGCAGATGCAACTTCTAGACGGGCGTACGGGTTTTATGGAGATGTTGTTGTATTCGATACCACATTCAACACGAATAGATACGACTTGACATTTGCACCAATGTTGGGAGTTAATAACCATGGTCAAACAATTGTCCTAGCATGCGCATTTTTGAGCAAGGAAACGACTGAGTCGTTTATTTGGATGTTTGAGGAGTTTAAGAAAGCCATGCCAGGTGGCGAACCTAAAACGATCATCACAGATCAAGATGCGGCAATGAGCAGAGCGATTTCAATAGCCTTCCCGACTACATTTCATCGACTTTGCATATGGCACATCACATCAAAGTTCTCTGGTAAGTTACCACATTCTGCTTATAAGGAGTATTAGGGCGAATTCCAGAAAGCCATATGGGATACTGACAATAAGGATGAGTTTGATGCAAAATGGAATATTGTGGTTACAAAGGCTGGTTTGACTGACCATCCATGGCTAAGTTCAATGTTTGATTTAAGGGAATCTTGGGTTCCAGCCTACGCACGACACTTTTTTGCCGCTGGAATGTCAAGCAGCCAAAGAGCTGAATGTTCTCATGGTTTCTTCAAGCAATACATAT